AGATAGGTATTATTGAAACGCACAAATCATGTCAACTTTTCACAACATACTTAGTTGAATATATCGCAATGGATTGGTTAGCTTGAAAGTAATAATAAACTAAAACGTTTTCTCACAGATATACCCGTTATTTACGAATAATTACGCTACAAAAACTCAAAGGTCTGCTGTTCTTTTACTGAAATAATCGACGCCTTTTTCTTTCGGTCACGCCGTGATCATGCCATGTGTTCATTGTCTGACGTCATGGCGTCAGTCAGTACTAGATTTAGCCAAGGCTTGCTGGTCAAGTCGTTCAACAGAATTCGTGTGATAACTTGATCTTGGAAACTTCATACTATCTTAAATATCAACTGGAGAGCATGAACATGCTGAACACCCAAACAAGCCAGAGCACTTGACCTGATGTCATTATTATCACATTATACAGGTTACATAACATTTGGCCATTCTCGAATGCATCATTCCTGTCCAGCAAAACAGAAGGAATAAAGCTGGTCAGGTCGAACACTTGTCCATTATCTTTATCAAATTAACTAATGGCTGTTTATTTTCAATGCATACAAGTCTCTCTACCTTTAGAATTTTTATAAATCAACACACACATGTATTCATAACTTGCAGACGTTTGATTTATTGATAGTTAGTAAAAAAAAAAATATCAAAGGGAAGGATACTCCGATGTTGAATATTCTTTTGCTTAAATGCAAAGATGTTAGCTCATTTGTAAAAATTTAAAAAAAAAATAATCTCTTAGTTAACGAAATTGTTCACCAATTGATGTTTAGATTTTTATGTGTTGTAACTTTTTCTTTCAAAGCCACTGGTTATATCTTTGTATCCATGAACAGGCCCGTTAAAAGAAATTTCAGAAATTTTCAGTTTAGGGTGGACACTATCAAGAAAAAAAATCTTATAGAACATAAAAAAAGCTTATCAGAAATTAATATTTACATAATTTAGGGGACACAAGCATAAAATAGCTATCTATTATCGTGGGGCAGCCCCCCCCCCCCTCCCAGTTCCTACGTCCATAAAAAAAACCGAAATCACAAGTAATATAGTGTACATAGAAACCACTGAATTTTTCTTGTTTCTTAGCAAAAGAATTCCATTTCATGACTCAGAGTCATGTTGCGTACACATGCAGGATTGAACTTTTCTTGATTCTTCACATAAAAATAAATTTGCTCAAGTCAGACAAGCTTTTTAGGAAAGCTAATACTTGTTGTAAACTTATGATTAGCATGTTGTTATCAGTTTTCTGCATAATTTTCCATTGACAAAACCACCATAATCTCTAAAGCGTTCATAAGATTCTCTTACAGTACAGGCGGTGCCAGGAAAAACTATATAAAACCGGAAGTAAAAGTATTTTTCTCGATATATGCACAAGTCACGGGGTGTGGAGGACCCTTAAAACTTTTACACGCTCGATCAAGCAAAGTGAACGCTGTTATTGGAATGATCGTATGTGATTTCTTAACCTCAGTGGAGGTCTTTAAAAAGCTTTGTAGTGTAGAAAGTGAGAGAACTTTAATTACAAACATAGCTTTTCAAACCGAAGTTGGCTTTCTGACGAAAATTCGAAACAGAAACTAAGGTAATATTTTTGTTTTTTTCATATAAAACCACATCTATTGAGTTATTTGTCATTTCTATGTACATGTATATTTAATTTTCGCTTATTCTGACCAAATCATATTGTCCTAATTTTTAACATTAATCGATGAAGGACATGATGCAAATGAATATATATAGCTACAGCTCTTTAGCTCGCTGTTCTGAAAAATTGGGATGGACTACCTGAGAGCTACAGTGCCACCCATTGCAAAAATTGTATATATATTCAATTTTATTGCGCACAAAAAAGTCATATAAAAATATTACTAACCGTGTGTTTCTTACATATTTTTTTTTTTACTATTTCCATTCTGCAAAACATTTCCCACTGTCGTTGTTAATAGCCCTCATGGGCCTGAGATAGAGACCATCGAAAATTTCGTCTATATTTATACATGTATATATACTGAAACGCAACGAGCAAAAAACTACAAATATTTGATTTTTTTATCTAACGATTTTGAAACATGAATACGGCAAGGTAAAACTCAATTTAAAAACATCATAGATTTGATAAAAATGTTGAATAATTATCTTTTAACTTTAGAAAGTAACACATAGCTGTCAACCCCCCCACCCCACCCCCCCGGCATTCAATTACAGCGTGCAAGACCGCCATGCACACCAACTGCAGCTTCATTTCTACGATGCATTAGGAATATTAATCTCGAGATCTGAACGAAAGAAATATTCTTTGGCATTTTAAGTGCCTTTTTTCAAATGATTTCGAATTTTCTCGAAAGTTAGCGCAGTGTATTAACCCTTGGACTTCCGATCCACGGAATGTCATTCATGCTCATGACACGTATGAGCCTGTTGAGGCGTGTTGTAGTGCATATATGCATCTGCAACTCTCCATCACCTTTATTTTGAGAATTTCCAGCTAAAGCAATGGAAATGCGTACTTAGTCATTTTCAGGAAGCTTTGGCATCGCTTCTAGAAAAGAAAGGAGAATTTATTTTTCGGAATATTGTTGCATTACTTATGATGAACAGATACAAACCATTAAAACCTCAAGTTTTTGCCAAATGTTTTGTTTTTGATTTCTGTTAAAGGGGCTTAACTTAACTTCCACCGGTCACGGTAGCCTAGTGGTAGGGCGTTCGATACGTGATCGGGAGGCCCGGGTTCGATTCTCGTTCGCCGCGCCGCGTCAAATCTAAGACGTAAATATAGGTAGTAACCGTTCCTTCGCCATGCACCCGTCACTAGAAGTGAAAGTCACGGGTCTTTCGGATGAGATCTTAAAAACCGAGGTCACGGTGGACGTTGGCACGATAAAGATCCCTCACTGCTCAATGGCCCTGAGTACCATAAATCTAAATTTGAAGCCCTTCACCGGTATATGATGACGTCTCTATATGAGTGAAAAATTCTCGATTGGGACGGGGTTTTTTTGTTTGTTTGTTTATTGTTTAACGTCCCTCTCGAGAATTTTTCACTCATATGGAGACGCCACCACTTGCCGATGGAGAGCTGCAAAGTTTGACCTATACCCGGCACTCAGAGTCATTGAGCAATAAGGGATCTTTTTTCGTGCCAGCACCTACTGCGACACGTGACCTCGATTTATACGGTCTCATCCGAAGGACCGGTCTCCACGTCCCACAGTGGGATTCGAATCCGGATTGTGACGGAAATCAATATATAATTAAACAATCAATCAACCAAACTTAACTTCCGGTAATGGTATGAAAATCATTCAACCGTTAAATATACGATATTAACAAAGATGCAGATGTCCTTGCTTTTTAGGTACAAAGTTATATTCTATATATAATATTTCCCCCTAAAATAGGATGTTGCGTTTCTTTTGTGTTTCAGTATACAATGTACTGCTATTTTTGTTGGTAAGACAGTTCGGCCCAACGCGCCTCGTACATGATTTGTGAATACAGTTTTGTTGTGGAAGTAGCAAAAGAATATGTTAGGAACACTTGGGTTATAAAATAAACGGAGAACTCAATCGAAAAATTAACAGCGCACTTTTTTGTTCGTCACAAATATACAGTTTTTTCAATGGGTGGCACTAGCTCTCTGTAGCGAGCTACAGAACTGCAGTTAGTAAATGAAATGCATACACTCAAAAACTCACACATTTTGATGTTTCATTGATGTAGGAGACAGTTTTAAAATTTAGCTTTAAATATCATTTTGAAAGGTCCGTCTAGACCATTTTATAAACAACTCGGACCATAAGCCGCTATGCTTAATTAAATGGATTTAAATCCAAGACGGGAAACACATACACCTCTTTATTTAATGATTAAAACATATATTAATGCTCTTTTCACTCAAGTAGAATTTAAGCAAAAAAACCTACCTTTCCAGAACATATTGTTTTTATTGCACATTAAAATTAGATCTTTGGTCCGCTCCAACTAGATCGCTATAATAACTTATTGAAGCGATTTAGTTTGAGCGGATCAAAGATCTAATTTTAATTAGATTGCTTATTAAGTACTAAAATTTGTTTTAGAATAAATTGGTAAGAACTTGTTAAAGATATGGCCACAAGTACAACTAAAGCACAAGAACTCATCTTATGCCACCTCTGTGACAGGAAACCTACCGTCTTCCACTGTAACCTTTGCCAGGTAAACTTATGTGAAGAATGTGTTGGAAAACACTATAGGATGGCAACAATCCCTGCTCATGAGATTGTCAAATATCTAGATAGAAAATCCCCACTGCAACACCCACAAAGATAAGATTTGTACTATTAAATGTCAGAAATGTGATGTAGAAGTTTGCTTGAAATGTCTTACCAGAACCCATAACGGAAATTAAGGCTATTGTTGATGAAAAGAGAAAACTTTTGGAAAAAGACACAACTTATCTTAAAGAAATTCTCATTCCAAAATTCGAAGATGCAGATTCTAAAATAGACTTAAAATTAAGGGATTTAAATGCCAGATGTGATAAATTAGAACAATCAGTCATAGAGCATGGGAAACAATGGCACCTATTCATTGAAGAAATGGTGGAGAAAACCACTAAAGATATTACCAAAATGAGAGAGAATGGTATTAGAAGATTGAAGGAATTCCAAAGGGAAATCAAAAATGTTCTTGCAAGCATACACGAAATTACTCTGCAAAACAACAAGATAGATCAATCTATGAATATCAGCGACATCACAGAATATGAAAGCGATATTCAGAAGTATCAAAAGATTCCCTTAGATATAGAACTAGAACTACCAACTTTCGTCTCCAAGGACATAAATAAATGTAAACTTTACCAGTTTTTTGGAAATTGAAAAGAACTCAAGATCCAAACAGATCCGATCCACAAATCAGATGTATCTAATGAACTCCTAGATAAGCCCATTCAAATTGCAGCCTTCCGGACTGGAATAACAAAGTTGATGAGGATGGCATGTCTAGATATAGAGAATGTATGGGTAACCAGGAAGAACAAAGCCACCATCACTCGTTTCAACATACTGGGAACTGTGCAGGAGACTGTTACCGCCACCTGTTGGGATCATCCTAGTGACATTTCAATTTCAAAAGAAGGACATCTGCTCTACACTAATAAAGTAAACAAAATAGTAAATGATGTCCAACAGACAAAACCGAAGATCACGGCACCACAGGGATGGGTTCTACTTGGACTGTGTTTCACACAATCAGATGACTTACTGATCAGTTTGCAAACAAATGATAAAGAGCGCTATAAAATTGTCCGTTATGAAGGTCAATCAATAAAGCAGGAGATAGAAAAGGACGATCAAGGTCATCCTCTATATAAAGGAGGAGGTAATATGCTCTTCGTGGCAGAAAACAACAACGGGGATATCTGTGCCTCGGATTGCAATGCCAGTATAGTCACAGTGGTGAACAAAAAGGGAAAACTCCGATTCCGATATAAAGGACACCAAACGATGAAGAAGCAGTTTGATCCCGTCTCGATTGTCACAGACACCGCGGATCGTATTCTGGTGTAAGATTTTGCAAATCGCTGTACTCACATTGTTGATCAAGGCGGAGAGTTTCTCCGAAGTCTGGATGTCTGTGGAGCATCGAGTATAGACACAGTGGGTCGACTGTGGGTGAGAGAGTTTAATAGTGGAAATGTTGAGGTCATTAAATATAGAGGATATTTATTTGTAAAGAATTTTTAATATTAGAATTACAATTCATTTATACAAGAACTGAGTCAACCTCGATAAATTATATTTCAATATGCAAAGCTTAATTATATGTCTTATTAAGGTTAAAGAACAGGCGTTAAATTCTGTGTCATTTCATACTTTCTATAATAGTTTAATGCATAAACATATAGGCCTAGAAGATGAACCTTATGGTTTAGTTTTTTAAATACCATTTTATTTTGACAAAGACGTAAAATAGCCATATTTTGTACATGTAGTGCCTATACGTATTTACAGACAAATACATGTACATTGTTTTGTTCAAAAAGAGTTAAACTAATGATTTTAGAGTAATCTTGATAATCTGTGTAATAAAGAGATTTTAATAATTTTTGTGCACGACATGTGTCCAATTCTTCAAAATCTTATACACTTGATTTTGTTTTTATTTTCTCTGTTAACATTGTTTAATTTTGAATACGGACTGATTTACACGTACATGTGCATAGTAAGCTAAGACCTAACCCAGATGTACACCCAGGTAGTCTTGGACTTCCTAGTTTTGTTGCATGTGCCAGTTTAAGATATAAAATGTGTTTCCGAAAAAATGTTTCAAACATTAAAATCATGTTGTAGGACAATGTGTTTTGTAATTTGTTTGCAAGAATGTATCAAATCAACAAAATGTGTTTGTAATCGGATTAAATGCATGTATTCCTTTTGAGTACGTCATTTATGCAATACATGTAATTATTAAACCCCTCTCTCTCTCGCTCTCTCTCTCCGTGTGTTTCAATACCTCTACCGTAATCTGTATTTCATTCATTACATGGTACATGTCTGTATACCTTGACCTTGACTTGGCCTATTTCAAACAAACTTACCACAAAGTATCCTTCGATGGAGGGGATTCAAAGTTCAAACAAGCATTCTGAGGGTATTGCATTAGCAATACTAGTCCCCTACCGGCAAGTATAACCTGGTTCCCGTTAAAAATTGAAAATGCCATGAATCCGTCAAAAATAAATGAAGTGGAACAAAATTCAAACTTGGTCTATAAATCATCAAGGTAAAGTCACATACCAAAAATCAGCTCAATATCTGCAAGCGTTTAGAAAAAAAAAAGTGCGGAAAACCCTGAAAAATTGAAAAGGTCATAATTCCGTCAAAAATCATTGAAGCGGAACAAAATGTAAATTTGATCTGTAACTCATCAAGATACACTCGTATACCAAAAATCAGCTCAATATCTGCATGCGTTTAGAAAAAAAAGTGCGGAAAACCAAGTGGGACAGACTGACAGACAGACAGACGGACGGACAGACTCAGAGGAAGCCTATAGTCCCTTCCGGTTTCACCGGTAGGGGACTAATAAAGAGGTGAGATATTGAGAATTAGGGGGAAAAATAATGGCATCTTTCAAAATCTTCTCAAGAACGCTAAGCCGAAAAAGTTGAAAGTTAAAAGAAAGCTTCATTACATAATGCAGCTTTAAGGTTGTTTAAATCATAACTCTCGGGGATAGGGTGGGGCCACAACAGACGATCAAATTGTACATAAGAATATATAGGAAAACATCTTTTAAAATCTTTCTCTCAAAAATAGCAAAACCAGGTTCAGTCATATTTATAAAGAAGCATCCTCAGGCAGTGTAGATTCAGGTTTCTTGTAATCATGACCCCCGGGGGTAGGGTGTGGACATAATGGCCGATCAAAGTTTTACATTGGAGAAAAGTTATGGTTTTAAAAACGTGTAAGAAACCCTTCCAAGTACGATACTGATGGGTTTTTTTTTCCTGTGATATGATCCATAACATTGATTCTTTCAACAAGCATTCTGAGAGTATTGCATTAGCAATACTGGTCCTCTACCGGCAAGTGTAATCTGGTTCCCGCTAAAAATTGAAAATGCCTTAATTCCGTCAAAAATCGATGAAGCGGAACGAAATTCAAACTTGATCTATAACTCATCAAGGTTAAGTCACATGCCAAAAATCAGCTCAATATCTGCAAACGTTTAGAAAAAAAAGTGCGGAAAACCCTGAAAAATTGAAAAGGTCGTAATTCCGTCAAAAATCGTTGAAGCGGAACGAAATGCAAACTTGATTTATAACTCATCAAGATACACTCACATACCAAAAATCAGCTCAATATCTGCAAGCGTTTAGAAAACAAGAGGCCCAAGGGCCTTAACAGTTCATAAATTAGGTTCTAATCTGTTCCCCATTTATCACTCTCACCATACAGTACATTAACAAACTATCAGTGCTTCTGTACTATTTTAATTCCTTGTTGAAATCTCTTATAAAAATTAACAAATTTAGGAAATCTCAGAATAAAAAATCTAATTACATTTTTAAATAACTGATTTTTAAAACGATTTTTCAAATGATGGGTAGATAGACGTCGTAATAGTATATTTTTGACGTTCTTCAAGCGGGGTCATTTATTATGTCATAAATAAAATATATATAAAATATATGCTCTTGAAATTTTAAACATAGGAAATTGAGAATCTCACAATCATTTTTATAATTTTTTGATGTAAATCTGTGGTATCTGTCATATTTTGTTGTACTCCATAAAAACAGGAAAATATCACGAATTTTGGCATTTTGAGATGCCCCCTCTGTGTTTCGTGCATAAAAATGTACAATATAGTATTTCCCATCAAATAATATAAATTGAGCAAAAAGTCTATAGTACCATTATAATTTGCTCCGAAGTGCAAAAAAATGGTATTCTCCTATATAATCCTATAGTAAATGTACCTGTATTTTGATAGGGTCCCAAAAAATAACCAGATGGTAGATTCTCACTAAACTTCATGTATAGGCATGTATACTGAAGTCAATGGATCAATTTTCTATTGTTGACAGTATTACATCACCATATCATTTAGGTTTTCATCACGTGATTGCTTGTGGAAACATAACACGCTTGCAAATAAATCAAGGTAAGCTATTTTTTTCCGTTCTAATTTCTAGTTTTTAGAATAGATTACAATTTTACTGCATGGGCATTAAAATATGGAAATGTATATTCCTTGCCTCCTACATTGAGAGTCTATCTCATCGGACCTCCAACATGGTGGAATATCAAGCTAGGCCTATAGCCTACGTAGTAAGCCTAATATGTTGATGTATTTTAATTATATGTAGCCTAAGGAATACTTTACTTCTCTTTCTCATTGCAATCATTTAGAACTATTATAATCAGAATATTTTATAAACACTTTTTATAGATAGCATGAAATGACACGTAACATAAATGAGAAGTATGGAAGCGCGTGGGTATTTTTTCCATTATATGTTGATGAAGATATATGTTGAATTCTATCGCAAATATCTTTTTTTTTTTCAAAAAATAATTTTTTTAATAAAATAATTATGTGCTCACAACCAGTTCGCCAACACTGGGTATAATTAAATGCATACAATTTAAGTATGTAAAACAAGATGTGTTTGTGAAACACTGATGCCCTCCGTATGGCAGCTCATGGCAAAGGTTAAAGTTTCTCATATATATGCAAGTCAAACTCCAAAGGTCAAAGTAAACAGATCAAAATCGTTGGTACTCAAAGGAAAGGTCTTGCCACAGGAAAACACGACCTATGTGAAATATGAAAGCCTGTTCATAAGTTATTTTCTCAAAAGTAGGTCAAACTCAAAGGTCAAGGTCAAAGGGTCAAAATTGTTGGTACCCAAAGGAAAGAGTTGTCACAAGACGTACACCAGTGACCTGTAAAATATGAAAACCCTAGCTCCAATCGCTCAAAACGTATGCTTAATTTAAATTGACATGAACTGCACTTCATGAAGATTCTTACATAATATGAGCAATCATAATCCTGCCGCTCTTGAGAAGATTTTTCCTATATATATGTATTTTCATTTAAAATTCGGATCCACCGACGAATTGTTGCTTCTCCCTACTACGGGGCCACTTGATGAGCAAAATTGATTCTGCAATACCTTGCATATTTAGAAGAAGTGCGAATGCTATCTCCCGATCCCAGCCTACATTAAATCACTCCTAGATCAACACATTTGAAATGTTGGCCAGTAAATCTTTTTTGAATGCAAAGTTGACTTCATTAGTATTTGATTAATACCTGTGTTAATCTAACTAATTGCTGTTAAATTCGACTCTCTCTAGAAAGGATGCGTAACTTTTTTATGCCCACTGTTCGTTATCCTCACTTTCTCATTCAAATATTTTAACGATTGGAAATTGACTTGTAGGTAGGCGGCAGAAAATAAACTAAAACAATTGCAGTTCTTTGACGAATATTTACATTCATTGAATGTTTTCTTCTTTATTTCGTATGAAACCACTTTTCTTAATCAATCCACCAAAGTTTTCAAGACCACCTGTATGAAAGAATCGCTTAGGAGGGGGTTCTTCATCAATGAAACATTGATTATATTCATTATAGATATGAGAAATCAATATCACGATAAGAACTGATGAAAAATTAAGCACACTGATACAGTATTTATATTAAATGTAAGATAGATAACTATATAGTAATTATTTATAGATATGAATAACAAATGACCATCTAAAGTGTGGCAATGGCTACCAGTACAATCCGGGCACAGGAGATCATCCTCTGTCACCTCTGTGGCACGAGACCCACCAAGCTTCACTGTAACCCCTGCCAAACAGATTTATGTGAAAATTGTGTGGGAAAACACACCATGATGTCATCATTTGCCGCTCATGAAATCATAAAGTACCAAGACCGAAACTTCCAGCTTCTTCTTCCAAATTGCAAAGCCTCACAGGGATGAAAAATGTTCTTTCAAATGTCAAAACTGTAATCTTGAAATATGTATCAAGTGCCTTACTGGCATTCATAATGGTCATAAGGTCTTTGAAATTAGTGTTTCAGTTGATGAAAAGAAACGTCTTGTGGAAAAAGACACATCTTATCTTCAAGACGTCATTTCTAAATTCAAGAAAGCGGACGAAGAAATTGATTGCAAAATGGTGGCTTTGAACACCAGATGTGATGAATTAGAAGAACTGATATTAAAGCACGGAAAAGAATGGCACTGCGTCATCGACAATGTCATGATGAAAAACAAAAGAGAAATTGCCAGAATAAGAGAAGATGGAACAAATGAGTTAAGGAAATACAAGACGGAAATGAAGGATGTTTTTCTGAATCTGCAAGAAACCGTCCAGCGAAACAAAGAAATTGTCAAATCTGTAGATGTCAATGAAATCTGCCAATACGAGCTGGCATCTAGTAAATATCAGAATACCCCACTGAATGTTGAATTAAAGCTTCCAACTTTTGTTTTCAAAGAGGTAAAATCAGATCAATTTTACCAAGAGTTTGGGGGAATTAAAGGAATTTCAAGTTCAAAGGGGAAAGGGTGAACAAACTTCTGATACACATTTATCAGCTATTCAAAAGGTCCTTAGGATAGCTTTAGAAATTGCAGAATTTCCTACAGGAATAACACCATTGAAGCGGGAGATATGTGTTGGTTCAGATGAGGCGTGGATAAGCGGAAATGATGAAACGGTTACACGTTTTAATATAAAAGGCGCTGTACTGGAGAAAGTCAACACCACTTGTAGTGGTTCCCCCAGTGATATTACAGTATCAAAAGAAGGAAATCTAATTTACACCGATACAGCAAATAAAGTAGTTAATATAGTTCAACAAGGAAAGTCTACCACTCTGATCACTGCACCGCAGGGGTGGGAACCTCTCGGAGTGTTTTGTTCGCAGTCAGGTGATTTACTTGTTAGCATGAGAACAACTGATCAAACACGCTGCAAAATTGTCCGCTACGAGGGTAAAAGGATAACACAAGAAATAGAAGAGGACGACATGGGCGATCCTTTATATAAAGGAGGGTCGAAAATGCTCTTTGTGGCTGAGGACGATAACGGAGACATATGTGCTTCAGATTGCAATGCAAATGCTTTCATCATGGTCAACAGGGCTGGAGAACTGCTATACCGATATACAGAAAGACAAATGAAGGGCAATCCTTGTGGTATTATGATATTTTCTGTTTTTCGGATTTTCCTGGGTTTCTGGGGAAAAAGCGCTTATTTCATTTATGAGTACGGTCGTCGAAGATTTTGTTCTGGTTTGGGCTATTATGGGGCACATAGCATTGACAGATTTGGAAGGCTTTGGTTAGGGGAATCAAGCAGCGGAAAAGTGAAGATCATCAACGATGAAAGAATGCTATGTTTGTATTATGTTTTACTTATTGGGATCATAATTTCTCTTTTCATCAATTTTTGATGGTACATACATGTATGTATAACGAAGTTTTTCGTGTAAATCAACAATAAAAGATAAAAGAAGATAACTTATTCTAATGTTTATGACAATCTAGCGGTTTATTTTATCAAATGTATAAATGTTAACCCCCTCCAATCCGCAAAGTTTCCATTTTTCAATGGGGAGTATTTCGTTGTTTGAAAATAAAACAAACTAGATGTTGTCATAAGACAGTAATCATATTCTAAGGTATTTGCCTCAAAATGCAGTCTCCTTCATATTTGGGTAACCCTGGAAGAAGCCACAATAATTATATTATATATATATATATATATATATATATATATATATATATATATATATATATATATATATATATATATATATATATATATATACATGTATTTGTCAAATTGAGCATAAAATGTTTAGGTGAACATGTGACACCATGAGCAACTAATATGTAAGTATTTCTTATACTTATTAGTCATTCATTACCAGTCTTAAATTACAGAATTTAATGATGTACATTCTGCTAAATAGAAATTTTTTGAAACAAGGTTATTGTTTAAAGAAAAAAAGGAAGGGATTAAATTTTTGGATAATAAGAACTTCTTGAATTTATTGGCAAAACAACAAATATTATTATTATAGTGCATAGTTGTTTTGCTGAACTTTTAAAAAAAAAATCAGATGCCAAAATGACAACTTCTGGAATTGATCGAACCGCACCTGGAGTTGGACTTCGTCACCCTACCAGTACTAGTTTTACCGTTATTATTGGATGATCATTATGTCAGTTAAAATTGATAGAGTGTTTTAAATGGAATATATTTTATTTTATGAAGTTAACAGTACCAATAACAGGCGGTAAGTACATTACAACTTTTGGGTGCCATTAAAAGTTTAGGTATAGAACAGGGTAAAATAATCTGAAATGCAAATGGTTTGGGGCTTATAGCTTGGAAGGGGTCAAAGGTCATTGGATGCCACACGCAAGTTATAAACTGAAGTCCCTGGGGGTCATTCCCACTCCCTAAAACTGGAAACAATCAAATAGCTTTAAATAAAATCGAAAGCCCCAAAGCCGTCTTTGTATTATGACACATTAAATGGTATAAGGGGTCATAACCCCCAGAGGTCTCTCTGACCACCCCCTGAAACTGCAAATGATCATATATATCTCAACAATGGTTGAAAACTTTTCCCCTTAACCCTACATAATCTTGTTCCTTGTGTCATTATGCATTTCATGGTATAAAGGATATGACTCTCTGGTGGTCATTCCCATTCCCTTGAAATGATCAAAATATGACCTGCGTCAAAAGTGCATCAATGATAATCCAGTAGCCATTTCATACATGGCCCCTTATGATCAACCCATCCTCCTTGAATTCCTTTGTTTGTTTGTTGTTTAACGTCCTTTTCGAGAATTTTTCACACGTGTGGAGACGCCACCACTTCTCGATGCAAGTTTAGACCTAAACCCGGCACTTGGGGCAGCTGAGCAGTGATTGATCTTTTTCGTGCCAGCACCTACTGCGATACGGGACCTCGGTTTATACGGTCTCATCCGAAGGACCGACCTCTACGTCCCGCAGTGGGATTCGAACCTGCGACGTAAGGATCAACTTACTCCACGACTCTAGAGCAGACGCTCTGACCACTGCGCCATGCGGGCGATATCTCCTTGAATTAGAAAAGAAAATTATTCAGAAACCCGCCATTAAACTTTGTGTACATTTTTGTATATATATATTTTGAATACGGTCGAGTACACACAAAATAAATTGCTTTCGCACGAATTCCGTTTTGAGGCCTCAACTGACATAGCCTAGTTCCACTGAATAGATTCTACGCTAAATGAAAGTTTTGATCAAATTTGCTATGGAATAAAATAATCACCTCAACTTCAATTTATTATGGACTCTTTAAAGATGCATAATACTCTATTTTAATTGTTTAAGATTTGTGCAGGAAATATTTGATAAAAGGACGACTGGAGTGTCTGTCCCCTTTTATGAATCGTTATACGTCGGCGGTGTGAATTGCCGTTGACCGTCTTTAGCGTTGGAGAGAAGCGATTTCGGTTACTTCCTTTGATGTGGTTGACGTATTATTTAACCACTTCTGTGCCACAAGGCCGATTTTGGGCCGATCACACAGTTGCTCTTTTTTTTCGTATTAACTTAATATTACCTGGATTTTTTAAACAATGTTCCTTGCAAAAGGAATTTTTAGCTCTGTCACCAAGACGCACAAATGGTTGAACATATTTTATTGTAATTTATAATTACAAAGGGGTTGGGCACATGTTCTGAAAACTTATTACGCCCTCTCCCAACATGTAAATTGAAATTTTAATTGTCACAATTAAACATGATGTTTTGAAGTATACAATATTTGCAAAAATTTACTAATCGATATCGATGCATTTTGTAGATATATAATTTCATATATTGTAATTTACTAATATAACTTGTTTCGTAGAAATCTTTACATTTATTTAAAATGTTGATCACGCCGGGTGTTCGGACACCCAGAACAGGGTTGGACCGCATCAAAAACAGGGTTAAAAATGTCTATCTAATTAAATATCGCAAGTGGTGTAAACGACTGAATAATAAACTAAAAGATAAATGGACTTTGATCTAGTATTTTAAGTCGATAATAAATCGCAATTAAGAAGGTTTTATTATTATAAATTTACACTAGACCATCCAATAAAAAGGCAGTTTCCATCAAATTATCTACATGTATCTTTGTAACAAAGGGTGCAGGGAATCGGATACGAGGGACTGCAGGTAACTTGAGGTGTAAAATACTAAAATCGTGTGTCAGGAAATACATTATGGTGGTTAAAAATGTAAAAGAATACAAGCTATTTTTTCAAGGTCGGTTTCGCATGCTCTTCCATCTTTTGTATTATTATATTATATTAAATGGAAACTTGACCCATTGGTATTCCAAAATAATTTTTATGGCTAGACCCATTTTCTACCAAATATGCTTAACAGTAACTTTACCAAATTCTTAATCAAGAAGTGAATTCATTAAAACGAACGAATTAAATGTGTTGAAGATGGCGTTCAAGACAACACAATTTTTGAAAAATGTAAGTTTTCTTTAAAAAAATTAAAAATACATTGTCTCAGATCATGCGCTAAAGCAGGAGATTTCCCTTCTTGAATGGAAAGCGTCAGAACGTCTCAAACAGTGAAATACATGTACCTATGGCGTTCTGCAACAAGCAATAATTGTTAAATTATTTCCTGGAATTCGATTATTATTCAATATCTTTTTGATTATTTTATTTAAATCCAGTAATTTCTAAATTATCCAAATTTATTAATTAATATGATCCGCATATAAGTGCGAGCGAGGTGAGAAAATGTTTATCAAATGCCTGTTATGTTTCAGGTAATAATAATAATAATATACCTAATATATTTCAGGTCACCTTTTCTTCAATTGCACCCTGAAAATCCAAACTGTTGGTAAAACATTTCGCCTTATTTGCTTATGCAGGCACAAGTTACGACACAAAAGTTAACGTTCATGTCCACTGCCGTAAAGCTTCCTTGTAGAGAAGTAATTCTATTTACTTGTCGTGTGTTTTTGGTTTACACACGATAGAATCGGTCATTGTTGTTTTGCAGTATGCATGTTAGTCATATTTGTTGTATTGATGTTCTTAAATATCATAAGTTACATACGATCTAAGGGGTCAGGAAGTGAGTGAGCTTCGTGATTTTTTTGTTATAAAGCTAAGCTCGGGGGGGGGGGGGGGTTACTTTCCATTTTTTCGACAAAAAATATTTTGAATATAATAATTAGGCAGGATTTGATATGCTTCAAAAAGAGGAACAACCAGCCTTTTAATGAACGTACTAAGTAACACTGTTTTGGGAAAAAAGTACCCCCTGATACCTACTGGCTTGTATTTAAAGCATTTAATTTTGAATTAGAAAACACTACTTTTCCACATTATATCTTTCTCTCTTTTTACAGAGAAATATTTTTCATACAGACAAAATTAGACTTAATTAATTCTAAATGCAAACTACATTTTTGGGATGGATGTAAAATATATATATATATACGGAAGCCCGTTGAGACCAGTTCAGAGAAGAAAAAAAAATATTTTTATTGCGTTTAAAGGCAACAAATATTGCGTTGAAACTTATGTGGAAGCATCCTGGGGTAGTATAGATTCTTTAGTCAAATAATGACCCCTGGGGTAGGGCGGGACCACAATAGGTAATACTGACAAGGGGGGAAATCAGGTGAAGAACAGCAGGGCCAATGTTACTCAGGTGATCGTTGTGGCCCATGGGCCTCTTGTTTCATTTGGTGCGCTTTCAAACTTTCCGTACACCACAACAACACATCTACATTTTAAATAGGAATAACCACTTAATTGCTTTCAAATGAGGACGTTTTGGTTCAATGTTTGTGTTTAATAGTAAAGAGAGGAGTCCTTAAAATGCAATTAGAATAATTATTTTATAGAGAGACAAGAGATAGCTTTTTTTATTTGAGAGATATTCCTTTTGGTCACTTTTGATAGATAACTCTCCTTTTACTTTAAAAGGCATCTCATACGTTAAAGATAGATACACTTTCCTGAAACCGAGCTCCTGTGCATTGATTGGTGAAGTATTTTTTTAGTTTTCCGCTTACACTTCTCTATCGATTAGTAATAACACAAATGATCCTGTCAGAAATTTTTATTCTTTTAAGTTTTATCCATAAGTCTCTGTGTTACATCTCTTCTATGATAAGTTAAGACAATGTGTACATTGATGATGATGATAATGATAATACACATGTAAATAAAAAATATGTTCTATAGATATCTGATATCTAAGCTCTTGGTTTGGAAGAAGGAGTCACATTGGGGATATTAAATAATTTTCTTACAAAATACACTTGAAAACAAGACGTTGCTAAAATAGAAACAATCTGGAAAACGGACCAATACATGACGTAAGCATTATTTCCGGTCAGTAAATACCAGTCCTTTATGACGTTCATTCTACTAGTAGCTTGGTGCAATCGTACTTTGTCTATGGACTTTTGAACCTCTGTGATGGATGTCTGCAAGGAAGCAAAATTTTATAGAGAGGCGTTTTGAATAGAAAAAATTCAATGTATAAGAAATTTGTAAGTTTTCAGATGAAGTTCTTTTCCCTGTTCTTTTCAATTTTTCATTCCTTTCAGACAAACATTCAGTACAATTGAATTCCAACGCGATCTAATACAATCTAATCTTAATATTAACATCCACTGTTTTTCTCCTTTATTTTGAAAAACCACTTTCTTCGTCAATCGGTAAACGCCGGTAAGAAGGAGTTTTTTCAAGGTATTTTCAATCAGTGAAACATACAATGACGTACATAACAACAGTACAATATTTAACGTACTTATACCTACTTCATCTAATTTTTTATGATTATATACATAGATATAAATATAAAAAGTCTTTCTTTGTTAGTACGGGTAATTAACGGTTGCAGCTACTGCGGGAAAAAAATACATATATAACCCGCTTACGCAAGTTACAGCAACAGTAAGTAATAACTTTCAATTACAAGTGGTGTTTAGATGCCTCACCGTGAAATTTTGGACTGCTGTATGTAATCCCTCTATTTCCGCAACGTACTTGCTCCATTCTTCTTCAACCACCGTCACAATATAAATGTATACTAACTTCGATAGAAATCTGCTATGAATATTTTGAACACATATTTGAAAATTTCCTGGAAAAAGAAAAGAAAAACAAGAGTTGAATAATAGTATTTTTAAAAATTAACAATTTTTTATGCATTATACATATACACTGTAATAGAGATATGCATAGTAAAAATGAATTGTACAATAACAAAGATGTATTGGGGAAAAAATCAAGAGTATACATTTTACTGTCCGAATATATTTTTTATATAAGGTGATGTCGTACGTTACCAAATATGTCAAGGTTTCTTTATTTAGCGTTTAAGTGCCTCTATTGATATCTATCCTTTTCATTAATTTTACGGATTTCAACAGATTTAACACCCCCCCCCCTCTTTTTTTTTTAAAAATATAGATGATTTCCAGAAATCAAGATAGCAAGTACAAATGTTTTCCGCGCTGACAACATTCGATGTTTAATATAGATCGACTAAATGTCTCTTTATTTTCATATTACAAGCTATAAAGCATAATCTTGACAATTTATATCAGCCATACCATTGATTGGAGCTGTGTATTCTATACTCCCCTCTGATTTATAGGTAATTTCTTTGATCATATTATTATAACCATCCTTTACATAGAAATCTACAATACGATCGCCGCCTCGAAGAACCTGTGTAAAAAATGCAAGAATCATAGAATTTTCCTGTCAAGGAATGAAATAAAATGATTAATTTATGCTTAATTACCGGGTAATAATAATAAACTAGAGCGTTCGAAGGAATACTAGTATCTATACCTGAGGCATGAATTTTTTATCAACTGACATGTACATGTACCTAGCTTCAGATGTATAATACTTGTATACTATACGTGTCAGCAAGGAACCCAGAACTGAAAAAAGAGAGTTATTTGCAGATGTATATGATCAACTAAGCCTCACCCTGAGGTTTTTCTGATTTTTGTATAGGACCCATGACTGAAAATTATCAAGCAGACAGTCTGGATGGCAAGAGGAATACGTGTATAATATATAAAGCAGTAATTTAATTTATGATTGTATTAATCTTAGAGATTTCATCTCATTTATCAACCCTGGAGGAGAGCGGACCACGAAATTAACAACTTTTACTCTCCCTTTTTTCATGAAATACTATGTGTCCAAATTGGTTAAACGTGGTTCGTCTATTTTCAGAAAGAAGCGTAAAGTGTTCAAAAGCAATTACAAACGACGGCCGGACGACAGGTGGGAACAGACATCGAGTACTTTTTGACCCGAGAAATTTTAAGTGTCCTTAAGTAATGTAATATAAATACTAAATATTTCCTTGTGCATCGATCCACAAAATTTTGAAATTGAATTTGGAATACTAGAATACGGTAAGACTCTATAGATATTGCCTATGCCAGTTAGTACATTATGGTTTTGCTACTAGTATTTTGTATACGACCCGCCTACCTCAAATGATGCATGAAGATTAGCATTCTGTGCCACCCTCTGTACAAAACATTCTTCCTGGCTTGCAGGAACCTCTATTTTGAATTCATGCTGAGCCCCGGGGAGGCCATCAAAGCTAAAGTCATCAGTGCTCTCCTCTATAACTCGTTCTTGTGTCACTTGGAGAAAAAGATTCCAAAGACATGCCGAGCATAGCACTACATATGTTGGGAACATGTTGATTGTTTATCAGCAGAACAGGGACTTTGTCATAGACTAGCAAGATAATCGATACATTATATCAAGCAAGTACAGCGACAACTGTCGAGGCTAGATTGTTATGACGCTCAACGACCCTTCATTAAAAATTCACGTATGATTAATTAGAATAAAACACCCTTGCAGCAAAAGGCATTTTTGATATCTAATTGTAAATATGGTTAAAATTCTGTCAAATAACATGGCCAAGTTGAAATTTTATTTAGCCGTTACTATCTAATGGCATATGAAGTTCAATTTAAAATTTCTTGACTCGTGTCTAATTCCGGTATAGTTTCGCATTCTTGCTATATTCTAAAGTTCCGCGCTTCAAAGTTATTATATAGTCTCCTACAGGTGAAATCGGAGGGGACTATCGGTTTCCTCCTCGTCTGTCCAGCTGTCCTCTGTCTGTCAGTCTGTCCCACTTTGTTTTCCACACTTTTCTAAATGCTTGCAGAAATTGAGGTGCTTTTTGGTATGTGAGTGTACCTTGAGTACATGTACAGATCAAGTTTGCATTTTGTTCCACTTCAATGATATTTCTTATGCAATATTCTCAGAATGTTTGTTATACTAGTCAATTTACAGTATACACATCCCCTTGATAGGAGTTCTTCGATGCCAAGTATTTGGGCTTGCAGATATTGAGCTGAATTTTGGTATAAAAAAGTTGTACAGATCAAGTTAGCATAGGAAAGACAGATTTGTTTTATATAGACTTTCTTGAAGATGTTTCCTAAAATAATTTGGGGATAATTATGAAAATCATAAATAAAGGAAGGTCCATATTCTATGACTGAATATCCCCCACATGTACCTCTCAATACCAGAAATCTTTTATGGGTCAACTTCAGGCACGTAGCAACGGGGGAGGGAAGGGGGGGGGCTACCCCCCCTTTTTTTTCCAAAGACTTTTTCTTTACTATTTGAAATGTTAATTGAAAGGCCGGTTGACCCCCGACTTTTTGTTGTAGAATAGTCTAATAAGGGTTTTGTAGTAGTGCATAAATAAAATTTGGTACTGAAAGAAGTTGGAACCTATCACTCCAACCCCCCAACCCAACCCCCACGAAATAGGATTTTCGAGTTCGGACAATTTTCCTTTTTTTTTTTTTTGCTTGTCAAGTTTTTTTTTCCAGATAAGTTGAAATTTTTCCTCTGGCTGCCCCCCCCCCTTTCAAAAACGATGCTACGTCCCTGAACTTTGATGTTTGTCTCAATGTATTTCTTACTAAAATATGTATACCAGTAGTTCATTTTCAATTATCCTTCTAAAAGATTAAATAAGTAATAAATATTAAGTAATAAAGTAATTAAGTAATAAATAAATATTATTATTTCGTTTGAACATGTTTATTGCAACAAAAGACTTTAAAATATAATATACCCACTTCTAGAAAATCAATATTTTACATTATGTAATGAAGCTGAAGGATGTCACTGGTATTATCTTGAAAATTAATATTCCTTCATGTTTTGGCAGAATTACATGAAATGCATAAAATTTATAAGATAGATATTTAAAAAGTTTATGGTCTACACACATTAGATCCGAATTGTTTGTGTAGTTAAACTTTCATTATAAAATAAATACATTTTAAGTTTATGTCAATGGATAATAAATGTGTAGTCACGACACGAGAAAATAATTTCAAAAATGTGTAGTTTATGACACTGAAAAAAGTTATTCATCGTTTTTATAAAATAAATTAAAAATCTTTGACCGGTGTTAAGAAAATTTCAAGAACTCTTCATAACACATGTAATTTATTGTGTCCACCACTGAATGATTGCATCATCATCTGCGATGGGCTTTATCATGTCCCATGCCATTGGCTGAGTAATATCACGTGGTATTATATACGGTCTCCCCGCCTTGCTGTATGCACACCTAATTCTGTCCCTTTCTGTTGTAGGGTTTTCGTAACTTGTCTCTGAACTGCTTGGCGATAAATCATGAAGCGCAAAACTCAACTCCGGTTGAAGTAAAATAAAGCAGTTTTCACAACCGAACGCATATCTGCTGTTTGTTTTTGGATAAAACGGTCCAAATGTTGTTATGAAAAACGTCACATTATTGAACTCAAAAACCCATCCTCGTTTTGCAACATAGGATTTGTTCATACATCTCACTTCCTTTGGGTCGTTGTCTGATATTACTTTTAGTATTCTTCTAAACGTCTTGGCGAAAACCTGGACATAAAATGAAGTTTTGATAAATGTTATTTCTTCAAACTATAAAGCATATTAATATATCTTCATTATTTTGCAGTGACTATGATTTTTCATTGTCCAGTGAAGCAGTTGCTCCAGGTGGATGTACTGGAAAAAATGAAATAGGAATTCATCACCGAAATACCGATGCGTTTTTTGTTGTTTTTTTGTTGTTGTTTTCTTTTTGCAATAAATGCATCGTTATTTCCCGAACTTACAAAGAAAGAATTTAACATTTCATTGTTTATCTGTTTAAATAATCATATACGAGTAATGTAAAATTAAGTACGTTAAATATTGTGTTATTGATATCTACGTCATTGTATGTCTCATTGATGGATTAGCAACTGCTCAAGAAATCTATTAATACATCTAGGTGGCTTGCTTAGCTGTGTTTAAGTACTGATAAAGGACCGTTCAGTGGATGTAAGAGAATCGTTCATACCTGTATGTCCTTTTGGTGGAATTCAACTGGTACCTCAATCAGAAAACCGTCAAGTTTATACTGACGACAGACAAGTGTGAAGTGCAACAATGAAGGCAAAAATCTGTTAAGGAAAGATTGTTTAATTCCGAATAACAATCAGCTGTCTGGTTCAATGCTATATTGAATTATTAAACATATTTAGAACGTAATGTAAGGGGCAGCTGACCTAACTAATACACGTATGAAGTAGTAGTAGGGTGGGGATACTAGCACACATCAACTCCACCCACTGTACTATATAATGTCTACCAGATATGTATATTAAACCAAAAGGCTCAGAGGCTAATCCCCACCCACTGTACTATATAATGTTTACCAAGTATGTACTCCACCCACTGTACTATATAATGTCTACCAGATATGTAAATTAAACCAAAAGGCTCAGAGGCTAATCCCCACCCACTGTACTATAAAATGTTTACCAAGTATGTAAATTACATTAAAAGGCTCAGAGGCTAATCCCCACCCACTGTACTATAAAATGTTTACCAAGTATGTAAATTAAATTAAAAGGCTCAGAGGCTAGTCAGAGAATGTTTACCAAGTATGTAAATTACATTAAAAGGCTCAGAGGCTAACCCACCCACTGTACTATATAAAGTTTACCAAGTGTGTAAATTAAAGTAAAAGGCTCAGAGGCTAGCCTCGCCTACTGTACTATATAATGTCTACCAAATATGTAGATTAAGTTCAAAGGCTCACATGCCAACCCCAAGCAGTGACTATATGAAAACATACAATCAACTGAAGGCTTAGTCTTAAACTCCACCCATTTCTATTTTTGTTTATACCAAAGATGTAAAATAAGTTAGAAGGCTCACATACTTACACTTTATAATCAATTGAAGGCTTAATGTCTTAATACTTATATCACTGTGTAAATGAGCCAAAATCCAAAGAACTTCTAGAAGACTTTGAACTGTATGATTTAAATGCATCCACAAATGACAAATGCAATGAAAATATAAATATGCAATAAACACATTCTTTGTTACAAGATTTATGAGGGGTAAATAGAAATGTTTATATTCTCTCTGAAATAGGAGATTCAGTTCAAAGGCTTATGAAGTACACGCAAAGATAGATAACTCTTAGCAAAGTTTGTTTGTTTTGTTTTGTTTTGTTTTTTTTTTTGTTTTGTTTTTTTTTTTTTTTTTTTTTTTTTTTTGCTCTATCCTTATTAGACATACACATGTCTAAGAATTTCAATACCATTAAACAGGTTAACAAGTAACTTTGTTAGTCAAACAGCTTTTATATTCATACCACACACTGATAATCCTTATCAGATGATCAAAAACTATTCATGACCTTTATTTTGAGTGAAACAATGTCAATACCCTTTTGCTCAACACAATGCTATTTCAGTCAATACCTTTTAAGACATCGTTTATTCAACGTAAAAGAGATTTAAACAGGGACATCATTTCAATCATGCTGAAGGATAAAGAATACAGTATATCATTTAAACATTTATTAAAAACCAGATCTTGTTAACATGCCATGTCAACAAAAAAATATATATATATTTAAAAATCATCAAATCACAGTACATGTATATACAAAATATTCAAAAGTATAATTCAATAGATCTTTGGCACATTTCTATGTAAAGATGTAAACAAAGTAGTAATGAATCACAATATAGAGCAACAACATAGAACAAAGATTATGAAATCAATAATGTACATCCAATGATTATCACTGAATTAAATGTTTAAAAGCAAACATTTTATGAAGCAAGACTAACTTTGAACAAAAGAACGGAATCACTTTAAAATCAAATATGTACATATTCATTAGTATTAGCTGAATCATATGAATCAAAAATATAAAAACAAAAACAAAGAAAACCTTACTTTGATTAAGGAAGGTAAAAGGGGAGCATACTACTCTTTATCTGTGACAAGCTAGATTATTTCAATACAAGGTTGTAGGCATGATATATAATGTATAATAAAAGCATGAGCAAACAGCTTCACTTGGCCTTGGAGGTAGGTAATAAGCATGATATATAATGCATAAAAGCATAACCAAACAGCTTCACATGGGCTAAAAGGTGAGTAATAAGCATGATATATAATGCATAAAAGCATAAGCAAACAGCTTCACATGGGCTAAAAGGTGAGTAATAAGCATGATGTATGATGCATAAAAAGCAAACAGCTTAACATGATTTAAAAGGTAATATATAATGCACAAGAAAAGCATAAGCAAACAATTAACAGCTTCACACAGATTAAAAGGTAAGCATATCTTACCATTTATATTCCAAAGTAAACACATTTGGTATGAAATAAAAATAATAATGTACTACTATGTTTTTGATGATATAGTAATGTTGAATCTTTAAAATATATTTGTATATACCTGTATAATCAAATTGAAAAGAACTTTTAAAGGAATTTTAAACTAGAGTATCATTTTCTTCTCCAAACCCTGCAAGGCGATTTCGAAATCTGTAGGCTTCGAGAGTTTCAAACTGTTCATCAATGTATGCTTTTATATCTGAAAATGGCCTTTTTCTACGACGAGCTCGCAGCCAAGCAATGCTTTTACATACAAAATATATGATTGCCAGGCAGGATGATATTAATGAAGCAGCTGAAATAAAATGTTTTACACTTATGGTTACAGCCTACAAAGATTTTTTTAATTGATAAACAAACAAATTTTGAAAATATATCATTCAAAGAGGTCAATTATTTTAAAGCTGCAAACTTGATACTGTATATAGTTGCAATGTATTCTTATGAATGGCATGTTTCATATTTTCAAAATTTAACTGGGTCACCATAGAAAACAGTCTGTTTTCTAGCTCTTTGTGGATATCTACTTGTATGTGCACCATTATCTTTCTGAATGTGCTGAATTGTTGGATTTTTGTAGCCTTTAAAAACTTTCAAAATCATTTTGCAAAAACCTTTAACAATTGCATACAATTTTTTCAAAATTGTTATGATTTCCATCAACTTCTTCTTTATGTCAATAATTTGATTTCCAACATATATAAGTAGTCCAAGAAAACCTACAAAATTAAGATTTTAATATATCATCATAGGTATCCATTATCAATATCCTCAAGAGCATTTTTTCACTGTTTCAATATCTCTTTCATAGTAGTGCAACCTTGACACAACACACATTAGCAGATGGTGAGTAATATATTTGAAGAGCATTGAGGAAAAAAGTTTTTAAGATTAATCTTCACATATTAATTGAATACCAATGGAGTGCAAACAAGACTTGTTTTCAACAGAAGGAGACCAATAGCTACTACATAGCTAAGCATAAGCATAATAAGTTGCTACCACAAGACACCACGACATGCCAGTGAAGTTATGTTCTCTTACCAAGATGAAACTACTGAAATAATAATACATTATTTTCATTTTTATACAACAAGCATTTGATATGTTTTTCTTGTCATGAATAATACTTACTTAACACAATAGTCGTGAAGGTGCCCATCTCCTCATTATGTATGTCTCCCTCATTTGCACCATTGTCAAATCCCACAATCTACAAAGTGATACATCTTCTTACAAAGGGATATTTTTCAGTCTACTGTTAACTAACTGATTGAATTGTGTGTGTCACTTATTACCTACTCTAGAATCTTGAAATTTATTATTTATTTATTACTTTTTGAAGGGAGGGATGTTAGCATACCATATTCAAACAGTTTTGTTTGTTATCAAGTCAATATATGTTTTATATTGGTTTTAAAAATCAAATATAAGTATACAATGTTAAATCACCTCACTGATTTCATTTAAAATGCTGCTACTGGTAGCTCGCGTTGTACCACTGGTTGCAGTATGGGTGGTGGGATGTTTGGTACTTCTGATACTGGCGGTCGGACGGGTGCTCCTAGACGAGGAGACATGCTGCAAAAATTGCTATTCAGAATTAGTGTAGCTTTATCACAAGTCAATATATGTTTTACATTGGTTTTAAAAATCAAATATAAGTATACAATGTTAAATCACCTCGCTGAATTCATTTAAAATGCTGCTACTGGTAGCTCGCGTGGTACCACTGGTTGCAGTATGGGTGGTGGGATGTTTGGTACTTCTGATACTGGCGGTAGGACGGGCGCTCCTAGACGAGGAGACATGCTGCAAAAATTGCTATTCAGAATTAGTGTAGCTTTATCACAAGTCAATACATGTTTTACATTGGTTTTAAAAATCAAATATAAGTATACAATGTTAAATCACCTCGCTGAATTCATTTAAAATGCTGCTACTGGTAGCTCGCGTGGTACCACTGGTTGCAGTATGGGTGGTGGGATGTTTGGTACTTCTGATACTGGCGGTAGGACGGGTGCTCCTAGAGGAGGAGACATGCTGCAAAAATTGCTATTCAGAATTAGTGTAGCTTTATCACAAGTCAATATATGTTTTACATTGGTTTTAAAAATCAAATATAACATAAGTATACAAAGTTAAATCACTTCACTGAATTCATGTGAAAAGTGTTTATAGCTATATCTTTAAAATTACAGATCTGATTTTAATATTTGATTTCAATTTAAATGCATTGCAATCAATACACTGTATTGTTTACACAAATGAATATAAATAAACAATATCCTATATTGTATGTTAAATTATTAGTAGTACATTTTTCAAGCTATCTTTAATTTAGTATGTATGTTCTTAGCATGCGATTTATTCACAGTCAATAACTCTCTGGAGTAGGACAAGGATATAACAACAAACAAACAAGGTATTTCATTTTACATCACAATTTACATCAGTGCTTATTACCTCTCAGGAAAAGGTACTAGTAATTTGTAAGAACTTGACATACACAATAAAATATGATCAAATCAATCATATTTCTTAGCTCTTAATACATAGACATTTATTTTTGTAATTAAATACTCATTTGATGAGGTTAAAATAAAATACTTACACACATATCACCATTCAAATAAACAGTGAGCGGTCTCTGAGTTAAGAAGAATAGGTCTACATCTTTACATCTCAACGGTGTGTTGTCCACATAAATCACATCCACATGGCTACATCTCAAATCTAGCATACCATTTGAATCAAAATAGTTGAATGTCAGCTGGTGGATATCCGTCTGCAGACATCCCCCGTACTTTCCTTCCCCCATCCAACTACACACACTAGTGTCACAAAATTCAAAAAATTGGAAAGTATCAATCGCACTAGGCATAGCGGTCTTGAACAAGCAGAAAATGAATATCGCCCTTATCACCCCCATCTTGAATCTTCTCATATTTACACGCTTTAGAAGCTATTTTGGTAATGCCGATCTCGATGCAATTTATAATAAATACCGCACTTTTTTGAAAACATTAGACCAATCTTTAGAGATTCACATTATTTCTTTATTATTATTTTTTCTTCACTATTCAGTCCAACACGATTTTAGTTCAGTAGTAATTGATTTTAAAAATAACAAACAGACACAACGGAAGAATTATGATTTTCGAGTTAGATATTTATTGTTAATGTTTCAAAAGAATTTAAAGATAGATATTTTGTAAATTTGATTTTCATTTCTATTTAATTTTCAAGATTTAAACTTCATATCATTTGTTTGATTTTTATTAATCATTACACGCTCAAAGTTCTAAATTCATCATCTTTCAAAGACGATAATTATATTTAATTAAAGATTCATTAGTAATACTGAACAAATGTGTACATGTACCATACAAAGTTTTAAGTTTTAGGCAGTATTGTATCTTCAAGGATGTGTCATTGCTTGAGAAGTTATTGTACATCATTAAAAAACTAACTAAAGTTTTTCAGATGTAATTCATATAATCTGTTAAGCAAATCGAACACTTGGTTAGCGAAGATGGATGTTAGTACTTTCATAAGTTTAACATCTATTCAAATTGTATTTGATCTTAAGCGAGTCGGACATTGTTAGCGAAGATGGATATAAGCAAAGAAACCAGACTTGTTTACAACCTATCTTTCAAAAGTTTAGCATCTATTCAAATTACATTTTGACCCTATTTGTACTACCTTGTTTGTTGTTCACCCATAGAAGAGGTGAAGAGTCAACATCCTAAAGAGAAACGGTGGTATATTTAAACGAATAACACTATTTTCTTCTCACTCGCCTGCTAGCTTTCCTCCCAAAATGAATGTAAAATTTGAAATTGGTGTTGGAAGTGATGGGGAAACGCCATACTTCTTTAATGGGTGCACCAAGGAGTATCAGAAGGCGCAGTTTGCAGTTCAACTTTCCCTTTTTAGAGGGAAGATTTACTTACATTTCCAAAGTGAGTAGTTTCTATACTATCCCATGTAAAACTTTTTTTTAAAAATAATTAATTTTGAAATTCTAATCTTAATTTTAATAGTTTTCCACAAAGTAGTTTTAAAACTATTCGGGAAGTAGTTTATGTATAAATATAGTGTAATAGTAATAGCACATCTTATGGAAAATATTCTCTGTTTTGAGTGTAAGTGCAAATTCATTTTAACAGACAACAAAAAAGGAACACAAATGTCCATGCCAGAAGACGTTGCAATGGCGCTCTTTGCAATGCGCGATGAGATACAAGCGGGAATTGATACAACTAGAAATCTAGGCGGTCCACCAAGTCCTCCAATGGTGAGTTAAATTTACCTATGAATCCCCCCCCCCTTTTTTGAACATGATTTTCTAAAATTGCAGTTTATTGACAATATAATTTTGTATTTAAATGGTATTAGCATAAAGGTGTAGATATATAGTATATCAATTAGGTTTAGACCTGTCAATTAGTTCATTTAGGGAATATTTCTCCATTTTATTTCCCTGAATATTCACGTTACAGATGAACGTAATTCCACTCAAAAAAAGAAGAAAAATTGTATCAGAAGACGATGACGATGAAATTCTGTATGCTTGAATGGTTCATCTGAAATTTGAATTAAATCAAATTTGTTGAAATGTTTGAGAGTTTTTCCTTCTTATCCCAGCCTTATTATTCAAGAATATATTATGAACTAAGATGTCATTTGTATATATTAACCTCTCTGCTCAATCATTGTTGATGATGAAATTTCTTTACATTGGATTATCTGCAAATCGGATATCATCAATAGTCAAATGCAGTTGTGTATTGTGTTAGTTACACCCCTGTTCATTCATTAATGTTGTATAATTACATCTCTATTTTAGTTAATCAAATTAGTAAATTGTCAAACGAAAATTGTTGTAAAATCGTGATATCTTTGAACTCAAAGTTGAAAATACACGACAATGTATAAAGGGGATATGTTTTAATATGTATACATTCTATAGACTAATAAACATAATCAAATAAGATATTCTACAATTTATACATCGTCTGAGCTCGGGCAGTCAATGGTTTTAAAGTGTCCATAGGAATATCCTTCAATGCCCATAGGTTCCAACCACCATCGTTTATCGTCAAACGAGGACAGAGAGATTTTGTTGATGGTCTTTAGATACAGATTATGATTTTCACTTCGAATAGAGTTCATTGAATGTCTCTCTAATTTACTACCCAATAGGCAGTTCACGTAGTTCTCATAGGTTAATTCTTTGTTGACCACCGATTTGGAAATTCCTTTTGCTTTCTTTACTTCGGTTTTTTTTCTCATCGTAAACAATAAATGAATACATTTTCGGTCGCAGTCCGACAAATCCAAGGATTGGGTGAGATGCAGTTTCATCTTTCATCTTTCCAACAACCTTCTTATGTTTTTCACTGAACAGGAAATGATCTCTCGGATAGTTTGACGTATCAAACAAATCTATATGTTGACTTATCTCCCTGTACATATCTTCAACTTCAAATCTACAAAATAAATAAGAAATTCAGGCAAAGAACAAACATTGGCTGAAGCAGTTAACACATTTTATCACAGGAATAGGCTTAATGTTTACCTGTAAAATAGAGAGTCAGTATCCGTCATCAGCAGCTTTGCATTTTCCCCATACTGCTTTTTGATGAAACCATAGTGGAATTCATACATAAACAGCTTGGACAAATCCAATATGCTCATCCCAGTGTAGATTGGTTTGTTGAGTAAAAGCTTGACCTTTTTGTTTTTCACTCCAACGAGATCGCTATTGAAGATGGTAAAACTCTCAAAACTTGGTTTACTAACAAATCTCTGCAATCGTTTTTTGGTGTGAACTAAATTAAAGTTCAGTCTATTTCTAATATTTTCCATGGTTTTTCTGAAATGATATAGAAAAGGGATAAAAAGTAACTGAATAATGTATCATCTATCAACGGACAATGTGTGTGATAATTGTCTTGAGGACTCACCCAAAAACAATATTGTTGTAAGATTTGTGAAGAGAGACATCAAAGTCATTCTGTGCTTGCTGCCTCATCTTGGTATTGTATTCTATGTAAGGTTTTAACCAATTCTCCTGTTTAAAACTTATTACCCGATGTGTTTCTTTAAGAACAAGTCCCTGCTGTAGGTAGAATTGTAAGTTCCTGTAATGAACAACGTATTTTTCCTTTGTTCTAAGTGTAGGAACAAGTTTTCTAGAGATCTCTCCTTCCGTTTTCGGTTTATGAAAACTTTTATATAGCTCTTGACAGTAAGGGGACAGATCTTCAAGTTTGATAGATAGCGACTCTGGAGCTAATGGGAGATCATTATGCTGATCATGCAAATGACTCGGATACTCAAGTGTGACCTCTAAGATATATCCAGTTGCAGCATTTTTGTTTACATTCATGATGTCAAGCTCTGATATTTCTTTCGCACTCAGCCATCGAAAATCTCTAACAGGGAGGGGCTCAACCATAGCTCCACCATATAAGTTGTTCATATCAAAATACCCTAGGTAAACATTTGGTTTGCTTGGATCATAGTTCTGTCCAATATAAGGATTGTTAGCTTCAGCAAAACGTAATGTCATCATTGCCACACCACCGCGTACACCCTTTTCAATCATTTGATATTGCTCTATGTCAGTTAGTAATTCTAACTCCACACCAGTCATTTTCAAACATGCACTCCAGCACATGCCAGCGAGGGTGTAATACTGTGCAGGATCTAAATCAAAACTTTTCAGGGATATACTTCTGAATCGTTCAAAAACATCTGCTAAAAGTAGCACGTCACACAGTACATATAGATCATGATATTCACCCATTGTTTGGATATTCATCACCCTCCACACTTCCTTTGCATGCTCATACTCTTCATCTGAGATGTGACATTTGCGTATAGTATTGTAAAATTCGTGTTTGGAGGGTAATTCATTCACTAAAAACTTTGAACTGTCTGTTATGAATGAGTATGGGTAAATTCCTTTTTTCAATAAAAGTTTTCTGGAATACTCGGAGGAAAAGTATTTGTTGAATTGGTGGAAATGTTGTACACCGCTAGATTTCAGATTCTTTACCAAAATATCCAAAGACGTTGTAAGAAATTGAAAAGAATCTATGAACCTTAATTTTGAAATTGTAAAAGAGACGTATCGTTCATTAGTATTGGCAATTACATTGATACGTTTTTTCTTGAATTTTCCAAGTCGCTGCATGATAAGATGAGCGTCAAATCCTCTAAGATTGTGTAATATAACAGGTATAAACTCTGCTTGCTTAAACTGTAAATTACAATTTCTATGCGCAGCACCGAAAAATTCACCTGTTATATGATCATGATTTCTTACTTTGTCATGCTTCCTTTCAAATTCTAATCCACAGAGATGACAGTGGGTTGCTCTGTGAAATGAATCTTCTATAACACTGTTGATTTGCATAGGTTCAATTCTATGCAACAAATTGATGAATCTTTCTTCTTCTTCTAGTAATCGAATCATAAACGTCTCTACTATATCATTACCTCGATATACAGTAGGTGGTTTAGTATACCTTCTGTCTGTAGAAACTATATGATATGCAAATCCACAGGGTTCAAATTCAGAAATATTGCTGGTGTGTGAAGAATTCGGATCTAGGTCACAAGTCTGAATTGGCTTGACATACGTTTCGAAATCGGCGTAAATGACAAATGGCACACGGAGTTGTTTTGCAATCTCAGTAAATTTCAGCACATCATTTTCTCCAGGTGTTGGCATCTCTATCTTTTGCTCCCCGAGAGACATACAAAAGTCAACATGTTTATTCAAAGTCTCCCTCCTCACAAATCCATGCAAACAGTAGGGGCAATAGAAATGAGAGCGATGAGAGTTCCCACCCTCTGTTCGGAAGAGAAACCGATTGAGATTCTTGATTA